TTAATTTTGGATATAGTACAAGAAAACAAGAATGTAATTATTTATTACAAATTTCCATTCCAGAAGTGCCCCACTCTCGTTTTCCAGTGGCTCTCCAGTAGTTCCTTTTATGTGGTGAACATGTGCTGGTTCAGCTGGCCGATGGAGCAGCAGAGGAGCCCTTGGGTTTCCCATAGGTTTCCCTTCTAATCCCAGTTTGTTGAGGGGAAGTGGGGCCTGTCAGAATTTTGACAAGTCGGACATTTAATTGCCTTTTTTTTTCTTCAGATTTTTTCCCCCTGTTTTTCAAGTACCATTTATATTTTTCAGTCACCAAAAGATGTAAGAGCTGGCTTCATAGGTGGGCTGTGCTAGCAAGTTAGGATGATTGCTTTGTTGCCTCTCGGACTGCGGCCAGAGTTCCTGCTCCAGTCCTGAGCTGCCTTCTCATCCGGGTCTGCTGACATCAGTGTCCCCCTAAAGTGACTATGCCGTCACTTGCAGACAGAGCGCTGGAACACTTGTCTCTGCCTTCGGGCTGGGGCAGGCAGGCGTGCAGGGGAGGGGATGACGGGTAGAGAATACTGTGTGTTTTCGCACTCCAGAGAAATTCTTTCGGTGCAGATTGTGGCTCTTTTCTTTGTTAGATAGTGGTAACAAATAGTGTTTCCTTGAGTGCTTCTCAATTACTGTAATTTCCAAACTTCTGAGTAACGCAGTACAAAGATTCACTTTTGAGAAATATTTTGAGGAACAATTTGTCCATGCTTAGCAGTCCAACTCAAGGATACGGAGTAGGTTGTGCAGAATTAAAGTTAGTAATTAGACAAGGGTATTAACATGTATGCAGGATATTATGCAGAACCATTATCCAGCTAAGATTATAGTTTCATGGGGTATAGAAAGAGATGTAGATGTAAAATACGATGTAAATGTATTTTTAAAAAAATTTGGATTAATAAGTAGTTTTTTAAATTGTTCTAAGCCAGCCCCAGCTGGTGTGGCTCAGTGGATTGAGCTCCAGCCTGCAAACGAGAGTCACCGGTTAAATTCCCAGTGGGGGCACATGCCTGGGTTGCTGGCCCGTCCCTAGTAGGGGGTGTGTAACAGGCAACCTGCACATTGATGTTTCTCTCCCTCTCTTTCTCCCTCCTTTCCCCTCTCTCTAAAAATAAATAAATAAAACCTAAGAAATTTTAAAATAAATTGTTTTATGCCAGTGGTTTTCATCAAAATATGGTGCTCCTCATATTAGTTGCATCAGCATCTCCTGGGTGTTTGTTAGAAATGCAGATTCTCAGGCCAAGTCCCAGGCAGAAGCACCACAGTCTGTGTTTTAAACAAGACCCTCAGTGATTCTGATGCACATTCTATTTGAAAACCAATGCTCTAAGGAAATATTATGTTATCTTGTAATTATACAAGCAAAATTAGCACAAAATATTAAATTAGCACAATAGTAAACAAACATTAATTTTATTTACTTTTTAAACTCTTTTTAAAGATTTCATTTGTTTTATTTTTAGAGTGGGGAAGCAGGGGGGGAGAAAGAGGGAGAGAAACATCAATGTGTGGTTGTCTCTCATGTGCCCCCTACTGAGCACCTGGCCTGCAACTCAAGCATGTGCCTGACTGGGAATCGAACCAGTGACCCTTTGGTTTTCAGACCAACACTCAATCCCCTGAGCTGCACTAGCCAGGACAAATTTTAAACATTTTTAATGTTTTCTAAAAATTATGTCATTCTCAGAATCATTATATTAAAATATTTTCAGATATAAAAAGTGCTGAGATACGGTTCTCAAAGGCCATGCAAACCTGACACTTTGCATCTTATAAATAGTAAAATTCATAAAAATCAGTGTTCACTAAAAATTCTTTGCAGTGAGACATTTCTCAGTTGTATTCCTCAACGTTCTTTGAATAACATTTTCTAAAACCTCAATAGAGGACATTCATTTTATTTTAAAATTTAACCTTATCCAATTAAATTTTGAGTAATTAGTAGCTTGTGTTAAAGGAAAACACTTTCTTGCAACATTTCCTTAGTAAAGCAAGATTTTGTCAAAATCTGTTCTAAATATCGTTCTATATTGGAGATATTTTTCAATGGTAAGGATTAAGCCAATTGTAGATGTTAACATAATCACATGAATTAATTCTTTAAGAAGTTGCAGTTCAGGGATTTATGACCCCCCCCCCCTTCAAACATTGTCTCATTGTCAAAATGTAATCTTTTGCTGTTGTTGAATCAATAAATAAAATTTGTGAAACATGAAAAAAACATTTAAATACATTTTGTTGATTATGCTATTACAGTTGTCCCAATTTTCTCCTTTGCCGTCCTCCACCCAGCACCTTCCATTCCCTCCTGCAGTCCCCCCAACTTAGTTCATGTCCTTGGGTCATGCATATAAGTTCTTTGGCTACTCCGTTTCCTATACTGTTCTTAATGTTCCCCAGTCTATTCTGTACCTACCAGTGTGTATTTTTTTTTCTTTTAGAATATTTTATTGATTATGCTGTTATAGTTGTCTCATTTTTTTCACCCCTTTATCCCCCTCCACCCTGCACTCTCCTCTCCCTTTAGGATTCCCCCCCTTAGTTCATGTCCATGGGTCGTACATATAAGTCCTTTGGCTTCTCCATTTCCTAAACTATTCTTAACCTCCCCCTTTGTATTTTTGTGCTGATTCATAACTTACTTTTTTTTCCCACTTACTATATTGTGTAGGTTATTTTATGGCAACATATATGGATCCATTGCATTACATTTAATGAACATAATATACAGGGTCAGGCAAAAGTATGTTTATACAGTTGTGAGTACATGAAACGGTTTATTGTATTATTATTTATTAATGTATTTCTTGCCATATGAACAATGTAAACCTACTTTTGCCCCACCCTGTATATGGCTGTAACATAGTTTTACTAGTGACCTAAAAATGGTTGTTTAAATTAATTCTACTTCTGATAATAAGGTAAGACTGTTCTTCCATTTATTGCTTTGTTTTATAAGGTGATTTTTAATTTGTTTATTTAGTAAATAAGAACTAGAGATAAATCTACTTTATTAGGAACTTACAAGGAGTCAGTGTGGTGTAGTGCAGAGAACTTTTGTTTAAAAGTCTGCTTTGAAACTTGTTTAATAACTAAATGGCTCTTTGATCTCTCTAAAATTATTTAACTCTGAGTCTTCATTTTAGCATCTGTAAGATGAAGGCAATTTTGTTAAGAAGAATTGAGATAATTTAATGTGAAAGTTCTTGCTGAATTGTTGAGAAAAATTCCAAGATGCAAAATGATAATGTCCTGACAAAAGAATACATATTATAATCTTAGATATAGAATGAGTTTGTAAATATGAATTCCATTTTTTGCTCAGACTTAAGTAGTTCCAACCCTGTAGAATTATCACAGTCCCTAAATTATCCAACAGCTTAGTTCTGTAAGCATCATATGTAGACTTAGTAAAATGTACATTGATGCTATTCAATTAATTTAAAAGCACTGTTTAATTTATAGGTGTTTTTTTGCATGTATTTTCCTAAATGCTAAAAGAATAATGTCAGGTGGTGTTTTGTAAATTCTTTAAAATTATAAAAATAGACTTCATACTAGGAGAAATTATAAATACTAGACATATACATTATAAAATTGTTTATCACTACTCATATAAATAGTTAGTTTTCTACACATTTGTGTAAACATCATACAGAGAAGTTATCAAGGCAGCATGGTGTGGTGTACACACACTTGTCTGATGTCATTGAGGCCTGGATTCAGTTTTATTCAGAAAATCTCTGTTGATGCACCTATTGGGGCCTAGGGATAGGAAGGGAATATAACTGTACATGATATTGCACTTACCTTGAAAGAGGTAATTGAGCTTGATTCTGAAAATGGGTAGGATTTGAACGTTCTGAGTCCTTGAAGAAGGTTAAATATAGGCATGGATATAGGCATAGAATGGGACAGGACCTGGTTTCTGGATATTAAGAAATTCTTGCTGACTGGGCCAGGAAATGTATAATAGCCAATAAGGCTGGAAAAGAAGAGGATGGAGGGGGGTCAGCCTTTGGCATGACTTGAAATCAATGTATAGGAGTTTGGGCTGAATCACTGAGCTGTAGTGAGCTGCTCAGGATTTGTAACCAAATATGGTGTGATCGCAGTCATGGTTTCAGGAAGGTGATCTCAGTGTATTATATTATTAATACTAACTTCAGCAGTATTACTTTAGGTAAGTCACATAGACTTTTGGAGCCTTCTGGAGATTGAAATTCTTATTTTTTATTTTGTAATCTAAAAATATTCTTTGAATTCTATGAAACAAATATAATTTTTTCTTTTATTTAAGAAAATAAGATATTGAGTATGAGAAATGAATGCCTTAAAGAAATTAGGGGCTGCTCCTTTACTTCCTCTTACTTTGGTAAGAAATTTACTTCTGGTCTCTCTTAAATGAGATTCATTTTTCTGTTTTATAATGTAGCTGTTTGTTCTATTTATGTACATTCTCTATGGTATTAAATGCCTTTGAATACCATATAAATTTATTTCTTGCCATCCCAGATTTACAGCATGAATTGTAAAGAAAGTTACAGATCTCTGGGGTTTCCTTCTAGCTCCAGAAGTCCGTGATTCTTTTTTTTTTCTCTTTGCACCTATTTTGGTTTATTTAACTAGCTCGTCAAATCACTTTTTAAAATTTGGTTTTAAATAAGTTTTAGCTCATGCTTTAAATTGTTTTTAAAAAGAGGTAAAGGGTTATTACTAGGTAGTTTCTCTACTTGGATATGGAATAGTTACTGATAATGATTTATTTAACTAATGTAGTTCTTTGGGAATTTGGGTATGTACCTAAAGGAGTTCTACTGCTGTTAAATTGATTATCTCTATCAGTGTGTTTTTACTGTTGGATTTAGTCAGAAGAATAGTATTAGTAGTTTTTCTGAAAATGGTACATTGAATGACGATTCATTTGAGCTAATACTGTTTCTTTTGTCTTTGGATAGTTGGAACAGATCATGGAACAGAAGCAATTGAAAGTGCAGCTGCATTTCTCTTCAAGACATTTCACTTGAAGGACTCTGTTGGTCACAAGGAGACAAAGGCTATCAAACAGATGTTTGGTCCCTTTCCATCATCATCTGCCACTGCAGCTTGTAATGCTACCAATAGGATTACTTCTCGTTTTCATCCAGACAGTCTTACTGCCCTTGTCCAGATGACAAAAGATGAATGTGGTGACAGAGTTTTATTTGGTAATAATTTAGCATTTTCATTTGACATGCATGATTTGGACCACTTTGAAGAACTGCCAATAAATGGCGAACCCCAGAAAACTATAAGCCTAGATTACAAGAAGTTTCTGAATGAACATTTTCGGGAGCATTCCACTCCAGAGGTCAAACCTGTGGAGAAAACAAATGACTCCTTTTTGTGGTGTGAAGTTGAGAAGTACTTAAATGCAACTTTAAATGAAATGGCTGAAGCAACAAGAATAGAAGATCTTTGCTGTACTTTATATGATATGCTTGCTTCTGTTAAAAGTGGTGATGAACTTCAGAATGAGGTATAGTTGAAGTTATTGAAGTTTTTCACTAATGTGAACTTTCTTAATGAAATAGGCTTTTTAAACATGGATGGTAAGCAAAAAAAAAAAGTACTTCTTTGATATTGTGCTTTAGTATTTAGCCAAATATGTAGCCAAATGGGTTTACATGGTAGGCATGTTTGTCTTTTCACTGGGTAAGAGTATAATGGGGGACTGTGAGCATAATGAATAGTGGGATGAGTGAGAGGGTAGTCATTAGGGGGTTCAAATGTCATGGTTACTGAGACAATCGTAGTTAAATCTGTGGTTAAACTGTACTAATTAGTAGTATCCCTCCTCCTAACAGTATATAGGCTTGCATGATAAACTATATGGTTACCCTAGTAATAAAGGTTAACATTTGAATAGCATTTATACTTCTAAGAATTCTTTGATGAAACTATAACAAACTTCAAAATATTAGAAATTCAATCTTTATATTAAGTGATTTATTGATTTAGAAAAATATTTTTGATTAATTTCTATGTTTGAAAGAAAAAGCTTTGAAAAACAAACACATCTAGAAATAATTGGACTATTTTATATGACTTTCTTTTCATAATCTACCTCATTGCAAGGTCAAACTGAATTCATGCATCCATCTATTCATCATATATTTGTTGAATTCTCACTATTTATTAGTACAGTGCTAGCTGCTGGTTGTAAAAGGATGAATAAGATAGCTACCTTGCTCTCAGGGAATTAATTGTTCAGTAGGAGGAGACATTTCAAGTCCACTCAAATACTGTAGGTATTATAATAGTAAAAGCAAAGAAAATGGGGCATTGACTAACCATTCATAGATTTTGTAGAAGAACTAGTATGGTAGGAAAAGTATTCATAGAGGAAGTTAAGCTGGAGGCAAGTCTTAAAATATGACTGGATTTAACTTTTAAAAGTGGACCAGAAAGGTAGGGAGCATATTTTAGGTGTGAGAAAGAACCTGGTGCGTTTACAGAGTTACAGTCTGTACAGTGAGGGTACAGGATGCAAACCAAGGGTAGTGAGAGACAGAGCGGGCAGACAGGTAAGGGCCAAATAATGTAAGACCTTACGCACTTTGTTAAAGCGTAATATATATCAGTCACTCTAAAATGCATAGCTATACCTTGTGTGGTCTGCTTCAGTGACTGTTTCAACCAGGTTTTAATGGACAGTTTAATGTGTGAATATTTCAGATTCCACCAGTGACTTAAGTAGTCGAGTTTTTTATGGTTCATTCCTCAGTGTTTGGTTTTTCTATCTGAATGAAAATAAATACTCATTATGATATTCTTTTTTGTTTTATAGCATAGGTTATTCATAATTTTATATGACTCCTTTCTGCACGATTATATTGTTGTAGCAAATTTTCTGTAATGTTGTTTCAGTACCGTCACTTTATCCACTGTTACTCTCATTTTAGGCTGTGCTATACCTTACTTATGTGTTATCTATATACATTTATCAGCAGTTAAGCTGGTAAAAGTTTAATTAAAAGGGTATTCAGGTTATATGATAGCACAGATTATTTCCATTTTTTAAAAGATTTTATTTATGTATTTTTAAAGAAAGGGGAAGGGAAGAAGAAAGAGAGGGAGAGAAGCATCAATGTGTGGTTGCCTCTTCCACGCCCCCTTCTGGAGACCTGGCCCACAACCCAGGCATGTGCCCTGACTGGGAATCAAACTGGCAACCTTTCCATTCACAGACCAGCACTCAATCCTGAGCCACACCAACCAGAGCTATTTCCATTTCTTTTAGAGCTTTTAGTTGACTGTATGGAATAGGAATATTTAAATAATCATGCTGTGTGCTGTTGCTACAAATTTAGTAGTGCCTTAAGAACATGTTTTTACATGTAACTTTAAAGACATATACAAAACCTACATCTACGCTGCAGGTATTTTTGCTCAACGTATGAACCAGTTCTGAATTTAGTTTAATGACATATTGACTGCTGATACAGCTGTTTGGTTTTTTTTTTAAGTTTGAATGATTTTAACAGTCTTTGGTAAAATAAAAAAGGTATTAATGAAAAATACGAGAATATTGGAGATGTATTGGAGTATACTATATATCCCTTGGCATTATTTTAATGTTAAATGCTATTTGCAGAGTTATTAATGCTGATGTAAATATTGATGGATTCATTGTATAATCAATCAGTTCTTAGAAAAAGTGAATTTTGAATTGTATTGACGTCATAGTTTGCTTTTGTGCGGTGGGGCTTATTCTTTATAGCATTTGTGATTTGACGTTTGCTGCTAGCCTTATCTCTTGACTCTGTGCAGATGGTGTTACTTGAACCATGCAAGTTTATTTCTGAACCTAACCCTGTTCTAGATATGTGCCTGGTCCTAAGAAGTAGGAATTACTTGATTTGATTGACATCTGAGGGAAGACTATATTTTTAATTCTTATTTGCTATATAAATGATTCTAGAATCTTTTGAAATTTTGATGTAGAATAATTAGTGTGATTTAATGCAGTGGTTCTCAGATGTTTTGTTTTCAAAACTCCTTTACAGTCTTAAAAATTGAGGATCTTGTAGAGCTTTTCTTTATGTTGTCTATATATTCTATTAATGTTTATCATATTATAAATTAAAACAAAATTTTAATATATTAAATGCTTTAATAATTGTTTATTAAATTACTTAAAATAATACTAAATCTGCTTTATACCCCATGGAGGGTTATACTCACTTTATACTCATGGGAGGATGAAAGTGAAAGAGGCAACTAATATTTTAGTTATATCATGAAAATAATTTTGAACTCATGGTCTCTTGAGAGGATCTTGGAAATTCAGGCTACAATTTGAAAACAACTGATTTAATGTGTATACTGTAGTTTGATAAGAAGAGTGTAATGATGTTTTTGGTACTTAGAATAGGGTATTTAAAATATTGTGAGGAATGATTAACATTAATGCTGTATGAAAAGGTTCTCCTATTCAGTGTTATACATTCTTTTTGGAAGTCTTAGTACTGCTAAAAAATAAGGAATCGACCAGTGTCAACTAGGTTGAATTAAAAGTGTCCCTTCAGCTATGAGGGTGAAATATGTGCTGCTTTTCCTCTAATCTTTTCCCCAAATAATCACAAGAACCGTTCCCCAATCCCCAAGCCTGAATAGAGATCTTCCCTTTGGTAAAATTACGCATTAAAACTTAGAGAATGGCCCTGGCTGGTGTGGCTCGGTGGATTGAGTGTTGGCCTGAGAACCATAAGGGTCACTAGTTCGATTCCCAGTCTAGGGCACATGCCTGGGTTGCAGGCCAGGTCCCCAGTTGGGGGTGCATGAGAGGCAACTACACAGGGATATTTCTCTCCCTTTCTTTCTCCCTCCCTTCCCCTCTCTAAGAAATAAATAAATACAATTTTTTTTAAAAGGACTTAAAGAATGTGTATTAGTATTACAGAATTTTCCCACCCAATGTAGTATTTGTGTATCTAGCATTCTATCCAAATGGTGATCCCATTTAAGATCTACTAATTTTTGTGAAGAGTTTCTTAATTCAAAAGCTGTCCTATGACATATGATGGCAGTTATATTTTTTCTTTCTTAGTTTTTGTATTTGAATAGTTCAGTGCTCCATAGATCAGTACATATCTAGCAGTACTGATATGTATAATGCTTTTCATCATCTTGTCTTCAGAGATGTCAAACTTCCCGTTGCTTTGTCAACCTAAGAGCAACTAACCTAATAATTTCATAGGAAAAATACTTAAGACTATAGTTGACTCTTGAATAACATGGAGGTTTACAACCCTGCTGACCCCACAAAAAGTCAAAACTCCATGTATAACTTTTGACTCCCCCTAAGACTGACTACTAATATCCTACTGTTGACTGAAAGCCTTACCAATTCCAAATTCAGTTGATTATCACATACAGGATGGGGCAAAAGTAGATGTACAGTTGTGAGTATGCAAAACAGGGTCTTCGTTCTTGTGTTATCATTTATCAATGTGTTATTTTCCATATGAATAACTGTAAACCTACTTTTGTCCCCTCTGTATTTTATGTTATGTCCAGTATATACTGTAATCTTAGAATAAACTAGAGAAAAGAAAATATTAAGAAAATCATAAGAGAAAACATGTTCACAGTATTTATTGAAAAAATTTGCATGTAAGACTCACACAGTTGAAACCCATGTTGTTCAGGGGTCGACTGTATTTTCTCGTGACACTTGGTGAGTCTTGTTTTTTGCTGTTATACCGTCCTTTTTCTTTTTTTTTAAGTTGGGAGATTTTGCTTTTGTCTAGCACTTGTTTTTCTTCATCATTCTCATAGATAGTAGTGATTCTGAGGTCAAATCTGGGAACAGTTCCTGAACCTTGGGGTGTGATGCATCTGGGTTTGAATAGCTGGACTTACTTAAAGATAGGTTATTTCTTACTACATTTTCTCTCACCAAAAGTACTGTATTTTGCCATGTGTAATGCACTCCCGTGTATAATGTGCACCCACGTTTTTGGCCCAAACTTTCAGGAAAAATATCTTTCATTTTAATTTTCTAATTCAATTTTTTATTTATTTTTATTTAGAAACAGTTATTATATTCCAGGGTATTATTTTGCATACAGATATTATTATTGCTTTCTATAGTTACACTTTTAATGCATGAGCATAAATAAAAGAATTAAAAACATTGAAAGAGATAGGGAATTAGTACCACTAGTATATAATGCTCATCCTTATTTTTCCCTCAAAAATTGGGGCAAACCCTGGCTGGTGTGGCTCAGTGGATTGAGTGCTGACCTGTGAAACAAAGGGTCTCTGGTTCGATTCCCAGTCTAGGGCACATTCCTGGGTTGTGGGCCAGGTCCCCAGTTGGGGGTGGCGAGAGGTAACCAAACATTCATATTTCTCTCCCTCTCTTTCTCCCTCCCTTCCCCTCTCGAAAAATAAATAAATAAAAAGTTAAAAAAAATGGGACAAAAAAGTGTTCATTATACACCACAAAACATGGTAACATTTTAACATTTA